TATTGTTAGAAATTTTATTTTTGTTTTTATTTTTTGTTTATAGGATTACTCATGACACATGATGGCATTATTCATGGTTGCTGTATTGTGGAAAATTTGTACATTATTATCTTTTATTATTAATAAATATAATTGAATTATAAGAAGCGTGTTTAATTTTGTCGCAGGTGACAAATCTAGGGTAGCTGCTGGAATTATATATGAAAAGCATAACACTTAAAAAAAGTTATTAAATTATTTAAAAAATTAAATTTTTTTATTATATTATATTTAATTAAGTTTTTATATTTTTATTTTAAATCAAATTAGTTTTTATGATTAGTAGTTGATTTACTCAAAAATGCCACTGGTCATTCTATGTCATGTATTGTTGATATTAAAATATTTTAATTGATAATGGTATGATAAATGATGATGATGTGATATAATGATATGACCATATGTTATTTATTATTATCTACATTAGTGCCACGTGGATATAAAATGATAAATAATATTTTGATTAATAAAAATTAATTAATTATTAATCCTAAAAACTTATATGATCTTAAAAAAGATAAGTAATTAATTGAACACAATTAAAAAATAAAATCTTATTTAAAATTTTTTCAACTAATTCAAAAACTTTTTCGAGTGTTATACCAATCTAAAATGCTTTTATTATTAATTAATTTCTAGCAACAATAAAAGCTATCCTTAGCTGCCATGCCAAGTTTTTTCTTTGCAAAGAGGCAGCTATGAGCTCTAAACTTTGTTTTTTGGTGGGTTATTTTTTACTTAGAAGAAACCTTTCAACTGTGTGAAGATCCAAATGTGCCGAACTTCTCTTCCATAATCATACAAATGACCTGTTTGATCTATTTTGGTGATTAAATCAAATAGTTAATACTTGTGCCACTTTTTTAGAGAGAAGAGGTTCAATCCCAAAATGTTACTTGTATTATCAAAATATAAATATGTATATATATATATATATATATATTTAGCCTTGATGGGTGAAAAGAATTAAACAAATTCCATAAATAACATGGGATGGAATAAAGTGCATATATGGATGATAAAAGAACGGTAAGGATTTAATACTTTAATCTTAAAAAGAGGAAATGATAATGTACTATTATTTTTTTATTTATTTATATATATGTATATTACCAAACAATGCCTATCAATGTATCTCAGCTGATGTGCATGTGCCACGTTTGATTGGCCTTTTACTCGGTCTAAGGAAACAACCAAAACTGACTAAAATTAGATTCATAACCTTTCTTGATAACATTCTTTTCTTTTTCTTCATCTCCAAACAATTCCTTTCTCTGAGTATTTGGCCCATAATCTTTTATTTTAAAAAAATAAAATTAAAAACCCTTTCCCTCAATTTCAAAAAAAAAAGAAAAGAGAGAGACAAACCTTTTCTCTTACTTGTCCATCCATCCCAAGCAAACATGAATTGACAGCTACGCAATCGGATCAGAGGGGTACAATTACAAATAACCACAATTTAAGGGCCACATCTCCAAACTTTCAGTACATCAAGGACAAGGAAGCAAATCCAATCCCGTGAAACCAACCGACTCCATCTAGATCTCGTCATGGACACGTGCATCCCATCATGGCCGTCTATATTTAATCCGTAATATCTCACCGTCCAGACAATCTTCTTCTCGCCATATAAAATCAACCGTTGGCCGCCTGATGGGTTAGAAAATCTCCAGATCTTGGAAATACGAAGCAAAAAATAGGAAGAAGGATGGATTTCGAAGCAATTTAATCTAATTTTTCGGTTTTAGATTGAGAACAAAAGGAAGCAAAAGAAATTAACGGATCAATAATTCTTTTGAATCTGGCGACAAATTTCAATTCTAAAACTGAAAAATTAGGGTTTGTGTTTTCTTTCTAGAGTTCTTTGATTCTTTTCTTGGGTGAAAGAACAAAAAAAAAAAAGAACGCGATGAATGATCAGTCTCAACTGATGAATCAGCCACCTCAAATGATGATGAATTCCGTTCAGGTACAAGTTCCGGTTCAGCCACAGATGATGAACCAGTCTCATCAGTTGATGGCGGCGGCGGCGGCGGCTCATTCTCAGGCGATGAACCAGCTGGCTGCGGCTCAGGCTCAGTCGCAGCCGATGAGCTCCGGTCCGCAGATGATGAATCAGCCACCTATTCCGATGATGTTGAATCGAAGCTACAAGCCTTGGCAATCTCAGGACCCAAACCCTAACCCTAACCTTGGCAAGAAATTCCCTTCTTTCAATCGTAATAACAATTGGAAGGGCAAGAAAGTCACCGCTGGTAAAGATTCCAGAAAGTTCGATAATAAGCCTTTACCCATGGCCTCTGTTTCTGCAATTTCCTCTGTTTCCGCTGCTTCCGGTAGTAGTACTCAAGGGTACAAACCTCCAACTCTTAATGAGCTCCAATCTCAGAATCGGTTAAAAGCCAGGAAATTCTACGGCAACAAGAAGAAATTCAATAACAACAACAATCGGTTTGCCCCCTACGCGCCGCGGAACACGACCTCGTTTATAATCCGAGCGAAAAAATCAGGTGGGATAGCGTCCTTGGTGTCTCCGTGTCCGGTGACGCCTGCGGTGCTTCCAACGCCGATATTTTCACCGTCGCGGGAGGTTTTGGGTGATATGGCGAAGGAAGAATGGGGTGTGGATGGTTATGGGTCGATGAAAGGGTTGATTCGGCTTCGATCACCGGAAGTTGGTCATGATGATGAGGAAGATGAGGATGGGGGAAATGGTGGGGGATCGAGTGAGAGCGATGTGGAAGAGCACGTGGAGGTGGAGAGGAGATTGGACCATGATTTGAGTAGGTTTGAGATGATATATCCAAGTTATGGAGGTGATTATAACAATGTTTTGGAGAATAGAGTTGATGATCAAGATACCCATATAGCTCAACTGGAAGAAGAGAATTTGACATTGAAGGAAAGGTTGTTTTTGATGGAGAGGGAATTGGGAGATTTGAGGAGGAGGTTACAGTTTTTGGAGAGGCAGAGTCAGGTAGTGGAAGATGTTAATGAGGAGGTTGTGGAGAATGGGTCTGATAATGAGAGTGAGGGCGGAGGTTCTGATGTTAGGGTGGTTACTGGTGCTGCTGATCATAATAATGTGCACATGGTTGAGTTTCCCGCTGGAAAAAGTAGAAATGTTGATGTTATGGAGGAGGATAATAGTGGTGAAATGCCTCAGAATGAAGGTCTAAGGGATGCTAGTACGGATGAGATTGGAGCGGAAGGTGATGTTGCAAGAGAAGGTGAGCTGAAAAATGAAGGAAGAAGGGATGATGAATTGAAGGGTCAAGTTTTGAGGGAGGAAATATTTCGAGACAAGGAAAACGAGGTCAAGGGTGATGAACCAGGAGGCAGTGAGTTTGTAGGGGAGAAGATGGTTGAAGAAGAGAAAGGTGAGTCCAGGTGTGAAGAAGCAAGGAATGAGTCTGCTGACAACAATGAAACAAGAAACGAGGAAGTGCACTCATAAAGAGCATTGGCGACGGTGACTAGTTAAACTGTCCCTCGTTAATGTAAGTTTTTTCTCTAAACGTTGGTGCTTGGGCATGTTTTGATTATGGTTATTGAAACATGCAACTTCTGGATATATGCGGTCTAAGTAGATTTGTAGTTTAGTTCTTATTGTTCTTTTGCATTTTGTTAGTTCGACAGGGAAAAGAGAGGATGAATTGGTTGTTCTCCTTTCCTTTCTCTGCCCTAAATATGATTTAGAAAGTAGGCATCCTTCCCAGCTTTCTTTTTCTTTTTGTCCTTTCTTTTTTGTTCGGAAAGGGTGAGAGGGGGTAGTGGGTGTATTTTGTTTAGCTGGTAGGGGTTTATCCCTGAAGGTTCTTTCCTTTACAGGCATATATCTGTATCAATTTCACCTTCATTAAGTTTGAAAAAGAACCTTCCAGTATGTAAGGTAAATTTGTGACTGATGTACTTGCACTTCTTTTGCTTAATGTCCTAAAACCTCTTTAACATATTTATCTATCATTCTACTCATTTTAATTTTAATTTGAGGAATTTCTTTTACACTGTGTATAAGCTTATTTACTAACACAAGTATTCTCTTTTCCTATGTCTTAATTACAAACTTATTTTTAAATTAATTTGCCTTCTTATGGGATTTATATGTGGTATTCTGGTTATGTTTTTGAATTAACAAAGTTGACATCTGATTAACTTGTCTTCTGTTATTTATTATAGAATGTCATTTTTTTTTAACGATATTATAATGAGCTTTCCCCTTGTTAGCATGCTGAACTTCCCTCTTCACCATATGGGTAAGTATATTTAAACTTGTTATTTCTGCTTGATTCTGAATTGTTACTGCAGAAATTAGGTAATCAGATTTATGATTTTGAGACTGTCCACTACTCTGTTAATTGATTAATTTGTTTTACGGTAGAGGTAATTATCGTACAACTCTGCCAGCAAGAATTGCTCAATGGAAGACAGTCTTTTCTATGTCTAATTTTCCATCTAAAGTTAGTTGCATGTTTCATCTCGAAAGTACTTTTCTAGTATTATTGGTCATGGTTATTGAAGCATGCTTTCCAGTCTAAGTTGTGCAGACTGGAAAGGCTGCTTCAAAAACCCAACTTCTGGATATGCTCAATGCGCACATCATCTCGAGATGATGCTTTGTATTATTGGTACTTTTAATTGGGTTTTGGGAATGGATGAAGAAGCTGTGCAGATTGCAGGTGTAAGTATTCAAATGGTAAGACCTGAATCTTGGTAACTGTAGAAGCTTCATCTGTTTCATCAGCCACAAATCTTCTTACTGTTCAGTTGCAGACTTTGGACGTTTAGTAGTTTCTTTTGTTATTACATATTATTGAAGTTGTAGCCAGTTATAAAAACCGACTGAGCCTCCTTGTAATAGTATTCTTGTTTGAATGTGAAGAATTCTTTCTTTTTTTTGGTAAATCTAGGAGACCCTGAGGTAAGATCCCAGCATTGTGGATGGGGGTGTCAAATCTTTTGAGGAAGCAGAGTGTTTGCATCGTCTTATAGAGATATATCTTTGTGCAAATGAGTAAAGGGATTGTCAGTATGCATTCATAGGTTTGAGCATGGGAGAAAAGTATATCAAGTAAGGGTTAGGGTTAAATGAAAGTGATTATTAAATTGAACACACAGTGTGGAAGAATACATAGTCCTTTGTACTTTACATTTGAAGGGTAAATTACAAAAATTCACCCTGAGCTTTAAGAGTGACAGCTAGCTCTGTCCATTAAATTGGAAGCCAACACATTTCATCTTCTTCCTCGAGTTTTTCGCGTTATTTTGTACAAAAATGAAGAAAGGGACGTGTAAATGTTATTTTCAGTGCCATGATTAAAGAAAATTTGTCTGACACGTAATCAACAAGAGTGAGTGATGTAAATTTTAAGTGTTTTCCTTTTTGAAAGGCAACAGGGATGTCATGATTAAAGAAAAATGTAAAGATGTTCAATTTGATGTTGAGCTGGCTTAGGCAAGCAGGTTAATTCGGCTTCACAAGCTTGCAAACTTGCGTTCAAGTTCGGTTTATTGACCTTTTTATTGATTGAGAAGCCCACTTTGATTCAAAAAAAGTCCGTACAATATATCTATCGTATATTTAATAAATCATGATAATATAATATTCTCAGGTTGAATCAGGTTCGGCTGGTGCTTAAAATATGTGCCTAAGCTCCATCTAGGTACCATTGCACCTTGGTCTACGGCCTTCGGCCGAGGCTCTGAGTCTAACCTCATTTCATTAATCTTTTTTTATTTTTTATAATAAATTCCCCATACATTGCTATTCTTCTAATATAAATTTTCCAATATATTCCATTTATTTGTAGATTAATGTTTTCTTTTTTTCACGAGAAATTTGGATACACTGTTATTCTTCTGATAGATAATGTCTAATAACAGGTCATTAGGCTTAGAGAAAAACTTGCGCAATCCGCTTTGGAAGGAAGAATCTTGGAGAGCTCAAGCACTTGCTTGGACTTGAGGTTTCCAAAATCAAGGAAGGCTTATTTCTTTCTCAAAGAAGTTACATCAAGAAACGTGTTGAGAAGTTTGATATGGCAGATTGCAAAGCAATGGAGCAAAATCTCAACTTGAGATCAAATGAAGGATGTTTCTTTGTTATATTTGACCATTTCTAGGCCGGACATTTCTTTCTCAGTTAGGAGTGGTTAGTCAATTTATGGAAAGGCCTAGAAAGCCTCATCTTGATTCAGGGAGATCCTTCTTCTAGGCGCTCTACCTCTGGGTTGGCGGCTATGTCATGGTGCAGCACGGTTGCACCATCAACCAAGCACAGAAGCTCAATATAATGCTGACTCACTGCCAGCATAAGACTGCACTAGGCTTAAGAGGTTGGTTGCAGAGATTCTTCACTCATATTGGACAAATCAGTCCAGATTTGTAGTGACAATTTAAGCACTTTTAAGTTTGGCTTCTCATCCTGTGTTGCATAGAGGTCCATGATCACTTTCTCAGAGAAAATGGTGCTGATGTTGATTAAGCGCATACCCTGCACTTTTGGTGGTCTGCCAAAGATCATGAGTGATTCTACTGAATTCAAATTGCATCTGCCCGGTGTCCAACTAACTAGTACAAAAGTCTGCTAACACATTCCCTGGAATTAGGGGGTTTTAATGATGTTAATGGATTCTGGAAATATGGCCAATTTGATCAGCTCTCCCACTCACTAGCATAGACGTTTTAAGCCCAGAGATGGATCAGGAGCGAGCCTTCCACCACACAGTTTCAATCAGATACTGCCGTTGTTGCTGCTGTGGTGCAATTCTGCACTCAAGGTGCTGGAGAAGAAGTAGACTGCTTTCTTATCCTCGTCAGTCTTGACTCTTAAATAACTTACTAATTTTACAGGGTTGCTTCTATTTTTTTTTTAATAAAAGGCAAGCTACATCTAATTTTCAATAGTATAATCCTAGAATTAATTTCAAAGCTATATATCATGTCTATGATCACCACATCAAAAGAATGGTAAAACAAAATTACTAGCAGATTTTCAGATATATAAATTGCTCCTTCAGATTTTCTCAAATAATATGCTTATATGGCCTACATATTTCCCTGAAATAGGGTGTGGTTACCTTAACATTATATGCTTAATAACTTTAAAAAGAAAAAAACTTTGAAATGAAACACTCAATAATATATATCGTTGCATAAAGTATTCAAGTTGAATCACCTGATCCTGTGGTTTTCATCTATTTTGACCCATCTGTTCGTAGGTGAACAAATAAAATATTATTGTAGCCCCTGGAAATCCTGATCTTGTCATCACTGTATCTGCAAATGCATATTTAGTAAATGTAAGCTCAAAACTGGACTTTGAACCAATCAGCATCCCATAAATTATAGTAGTAGATGTTAATTGACACATCTTACAGAAGCTCCAGATTGATCTTGGTTTCCATTTCTAAAGGGTATCCAAATGGACCACCAATAAGGGCTGCGTCATCCATGGTAACATTGTAAGTCTTTGTGCCAGATTTGCTGCACAAGCAATGAGAGATCAAGTTTCAGGCTAATTAATGAAAAAATAGTTCATCCAATGAAGGGGGAAAATTGTAAACTAAAAACTTCCCCCTGCACAAGCAAAACACTTATAACACATTTTGCATCTTTCTGAATCCACAGAAGCTTTGCATTGTTGTTATCTTTTGTTTCTTTCGTTTTTTTTTTTTTTTTTTGAGTGAGATAGGGTTGAATCAGTACCTTTTTGGCATGTGTGGATGCTAAAATACGGTTAACATTGATAACGCTTACCATCCTCTTCAAACAGACCTGATGTCTGTATGTGTATGGATTCCCAAACTCTTTTGTAAAATTTTGGAAATGTTGCTCCAGAGTCCAGACAGGTTACAGTCACAAGCTCATGGCTGCACTTTTTCTTAACTTAATAATTTCTCCATTTGGGTTAACAGAGCTTCTGAAGCTGGCTCTTGTATTAAATTAATAGGCTTAATAAGCCAAAATGACTTTTGTGTGTAGCCTAACAAGTTGTAAGCATCGTCAAGAGCAATATTGAGATCCATATCATATCCGAAGTTCATATTCATGAACTTTACCAGGCAGCGTTCACTAGTATCATGCTATAAAGTTTTAATTAGACCCTCTGAACATTGCTATTTCAACACGAAAGCATTTTTTATTGTTTATAACTGGCTAATCTAGTGATGTTGAATAAACTAAAATTAACATAAAATTTTGCATTGAAGTTTAGCTTTTAGCCGTTCAACACCAACGCAAAGTGATAGACTTACACAAACTTGCCAATCATGGAGAACCTGATCCCAGGTAAGATGTTCACTAAAAACTTCATCTGTCCATTCTTGACAATCTAAGGCAGTTGCAATAAAAGAGTGAGGAACTGAATTAGACTAATGAAATAATTCCAAGGACAAGAGAACTACCTGCAATCAAGGCATTATTGCAAAGCCAAAGTTATTGACAACATTTAGATGTCACTTACCTGACTGCCCATAAGACCATTGCCAGCATTTTCTAGCCAACTGTCTGTCTCCATCTGCAACAAGATAGTAGGGGATGAAGTGAGCTAAGTAAGAACTTAGAAGCACTGATCTAAAAGAACATGACTCTTTATTTCAAGTTTAGATGAAGCAGGTGTGCTGTGCTAGGAGTGAACATATGGAGGCAAGGCTCCATGATGTCTAGCTGGTCATCCTCGGTTTAGCCTAAACTGGTGCTGCCTCTATTTTTCCTTTTCAGGAAGGATATTGTATTCTAGCTTTGATTCAGTTAATGCTCCAAAAGGAAAAGAAAGAAAAAGAAAAAGACTATTTATTTTAGTCCCTTCTAAGATTATATGAACTTAGATGCCACTGGCATTTTAAATGCACCTGCGAGCTCCATATCATCTGCCATTCTCCCTCTAAGAGTACTGGTTCATCTTTAGATACACTCTTGCTTAAGGAGAAAAACTCATCAATTGCCTGTAAAGGTTTGGAAATGCAACAGTTAGTGGAGGGAGGCTACACCAGCTATGCAATAACACATGCTCTGTCCAACATAATGTGCAAATTTTTAAGTTTGTTAATTTTACCTCTCTAACTTCCGTTCCTGTGGAAATGGCTGCTAGCAACTTTTGCCTAGGATCAGTCTTCTTTTGAAGCACAAATGTAGTGCCCTGTACTACAGAGACATTGCTGGACTTCCTCAGCAAGAAATTTATTAATAACATACTCACTTAAATAGAATAAATGAAGGCAATAAATGTCTTCACCTTATTTCCTCTTGAGATGCGGAGATTTCCAGAATGAGACAGATATGTAGTGTCTAACCAGCCCTTTGCTTCATCTCCAAGAAGTCTAAATGGGACTGGATATGGTACCTTAAATGGTAAAAATTTAAATGAAAAGGCTGCTCTGTCAAACTGGAAGATGATTCGTTTTCCATCTTTGATTGATGCTGCTGCCTGTAAAAGGAAAAAAAAAAAGGAAAGATAGGTATCTATGGAGAAACTGACTTATACAGAATGAACTAACTTAACATCTGCAATATGGCAGGCAAGAACACGAGAAATATAGATGGTAAGTTATGCCCTCTTTCAATTAGAAATTACTCTCAAAATGTTTAAAAGGAAAAGTGATTAAAATTGTTTTTCTTTTGACAAATAATGATTCAGAATCCATAATCTCCTTGAAGAGGCATGTAGTTACCATTGGATGATTCCTGTATATGTTATATTATACATTTTTTGAACCAGTTTGATTTGTTTCATTATCATTTTACCTGTTTTAAAGTATGCGGGATGTCTTTAGAAGAGTCACGGAAACAAATAAGGAGTCTCATGCTCATTACAATATAACAAATTTGACTAGAGTAGCACATGGCTGTAGTTATAAGCATTTAAGTTTGTGTGCACCGAGCCCTATTTAATTGTCCACATTACA